TGTGTGTGTGTGTGTGTGTGTGTGTGTGTCCGCACGCACGCGCGCTAAACTCTCTACCTGTTCCCAATGATCTATGGCTCCAGGGGATTTTATATAACATATACGAACATTTGTGTGCATTTGTGTGTGTTTAAATCAATGTTTGCGAGTGAGCGTGTCCACATGGGCGTGCAGCTGCATGCTCCACAGCTCTGGTTTGCAATGGTTTTGGGGTTTGGCACACAGAGGGAGGGAATTCCTTCATATTCGGACTGAGACAGAGGAGGGTCTCACTGGTGACTCCAAACTGCTGCAAACCTTGGACGGGGGAGTGCTAATTTACAGTCCGAGTGGGCTGCAACTGAAGGGGACTCAGTAAAGTGGTGGAAATGGGCCGGCCCGTATATCTCGCAGTAATTGACGGCGTTGGAGAACAGTGCAGAGTTCAGAGCCAGGAGTTGATGGTGTTATCCCGGGTTCTCCTCAGGCTCCTTTCTCTTTGGCCGTCTGCGGCTGCTCTGCCAGAAAACAGGCCTTTCATTTGAGACACAGCTTTATATGGCTCTCTGGTGCCAGCAGCATCATTAGGATTTTAGGAGTGGCACTTATCACATGAACAGCCAGGTCCTTACCCAACGAATATTAGGATTATTCCTGCTTCTTTTATTGCTTTGCTGATTTATTACAGACAGAGACGGAATAGACAGCAGTCTGAACGCCCTCAACAAACCTCGTAAATAGCCTTGTATGATGCAGTCTCCAGACTAAAACGCTTTTAGAAAATGTTTGTGAAATGCACTTAATGTGCTCTTTGCACAGAAAGTGAGAGGAATTTTCCCAACCACCAAAGTATCTCTTAGAAGAAACATGAAAAGAAACACACAGCAGATTGACATTGTAGTAGTGAGGTGAATGGTTCTGGAGGTCTGAAGCGGACAGTTTGCTGCATTTTGATTTTTTTTTTTCTGTGAAATAAAAATTTTCTTACAGCCTTTTGTGGATTTTGCCACACAGAGTTGAAGGAAGTGAACATGGAGGTTTTTGAGATGTTAAAAGTTGACAATGAAACTGAACTTCAGTTTGTCTACTTTTTTTTTTCTAGCTGCTTGTTTTTGCACTTTATGTGATTTTAGGTTTGATCCAATTTTTTTGAAAGGATCACATTTGGAATTTAAAGGGTTGGTTCACCTACATTACAATGGTATAGCCATGCAGAGGATTTAAGGATTTAAGATACCTGTCGGTGAGATTTTGACTACTATCTCAATGCAATGGAAGTAAACAGATTTATTTTTCCAGAAGATTATTTTTAACTTTGTATAATCCACAGACATCACTGTAAACAGTATTCTTTAAACTACTTTCTTACCAAAGAAATGCAGTGCTGTTACACCTTGAGGATGATTCGGGGTAAAAAGATGAAGGAGAGAAACCAGGTCATGGGTCACATCTAATCCCACAATTTTGAATACATGTTAACACCTCACCTCATAACATCACACCAGGATAGAAAAAAAAGACAAATCTCAACGTACAGCTGCTGTTTTTCTTCCCTGTCGTCTCGTGCAATTTTCCCATCCCTCTGACCACTTGAGTCTGATGTGTGTGTGTTGATGCAAACACAGCAGATTCCCCCTAATAAACAGGAAATATCTCTTCAATCCCAACAAATAAGACACAGGCACAGACATTCACTTGTCAGCACAAATTATGGGCCAATGCTCACAGATATGGATGTTATCTCAGTCCAGCAACACACACGCACACACACACACACACACACACACACACACCCCAAACTGCACTCGTGAGGATTCATTTTCAAGGATTTTCATTTGAAATTCTTTTGCGTGTTTTTAGCATCAAGTCTTGCGAGGCTCACTCACACTCCAGTCCAGTCTTCTACATACTTTTCCACATTCCTCCCATTTCTCCTTTTTTTTTCTTTCTTGAAGGATATACTATCCTCCTTCCCTCTCTCCCTTTTCACATGCCTTCCCCGCCTCTGCTTGTTCTCCCTTCCTCTTCCTTTCTTCTGTTCTCATCGAAATTCAGCTGTGTAATTCCCTCTCCGAGGACACCATTGATCTCTCCCTTCCTGCGTGTTTGAGGAACACTGGGCGGGCAAAGCGAGACAGTGAGAGGAGAAGGACGAAGAGGAGAGGGATGACAGAAGTGAACTGGAGAGAGAGAAACAGGAAGTAGAAAGAGAAAGCTGAAAAGGGGAGAGAAGAGAGGAAAAAAGGGGGGTAGAGAAGAAGAAGAGGAGGTGGGGGTGGAGGGGCAGAGGAGGAGAGCCCCTCTATAGTGGTTGGAGAAGAAAAGACACGGGCTTTCCTCGTGATCGCATCTTCCGCCCCTCTTTTTGAAGCACAGAGAGACAAGAGAGCAGCTATTTACTGGAGCCCACACATAATGGCCACTTTTATTTACTTTCGTCCATTTAGCTTCTGCCAAGGACTCTCTAGTGTGTGGGCCAAAAACAGAAACCCGAGGTGTTTTACAAAGTACCAGAGTCCCCACCCCCTCCTCTATATGTGTGTTCTTTATTTATTTGCTGATATCCAACTCCAAAACCACCCACAAAACAAAAAATCCCAATGTAGAAGGCGATATGTATCCCCCATCTCAACATGTGGGCACATTTATATATGACCTGCCTTGAATCCTCCCCCAGGCCAGGCCACATTCGCACACACACAGAATCCACACACACACACACACACACACACACACACACACACACACACACACACACACACACACAGACCCCTGCTCTGACATCACAAAGGTCAGCAGTCCCATCCAGGCTGCGACGAAGCTGACCCTCTGTCCTGAGGCAAGCCTGGTGACCAAAAACCAGTCCTCTCCTCTGAATTCACCGCTGACCTTTACAGAGAGCCTCATTGCTACCAGACCTCAGACAAAGTGCAGCACGTCAGGAAAATCAGGCCTCTCTTCCGCTGTTTGTAAATCTGACTTATCTGAATTATCAGAAGTGTTCTTATTTGTTTACGTATAGCTTTCTCATTTATTTCCTTATGTCCAGCTAATCCTAAAAGCTTCAAAAGGTTATTTGAAAAGGGGTTTTCTGAAATTCATCAATTTCATGGACCACATTTGAGAAAATCCACATTTTTGTTTATTCTAAATTGGTAATAATTCAAAAGTAATTATATATTTACAATGCTGATATTGACTACTTATAATTATTAGCAATATAAAGAATGTTATTAGTATCATAGGTGTAAGTATTTATTTTGCATCCAGATCTTTTTTAAAAACCATTTACTGTATGTCATTAACTACAAAAACCAGCCTTGTTTTTATTTTTGTATTAAAGCCTTTTTGAGATAATCCAAAGGATTTTTATGGGCTTTATTGGCCAAAGAAGTAAGAACATTTTTTTCAACCCTTTAATCCTTCAGTGTATCTAGAAACTAGTGAGGGTATCAGGACTGTAGCCAGGACTTTAGAAATACGAAGGTCAAGAGAGTAAATTCTCCCCAAATGTAACCACACCCTCCCTTAGAAATGTTTGATCAGAAATCAAAAAGAAAGTCTGTAAAATGTCCTAATTATTTTTAATTAGTTATTCGCTCAGTTGTATTTTCTGAAAGAAGTCTGAAACATAGGTTGAATATCCACAAGCTGCATGTAAAATTCTGGTGGAGAAAATATTGAAATATTTATTTAGTTTTGGCATAAAAGTAGTCAAATTAAAATATATTAATAATACTGGAATTAGTGTATAAAATAGCCGCCAAGTGTGAGTTTCAACTGCAGTTTGTAAATCACCTGAGGTCCCTTAAAGGTTCCCACAAAAATACATTAGCTCAGTGTCACACTATATTGCCTTTAGATGAATTATATTTACTTCCTTAATTTTAAATTTTTTATTTTAAAAATAAAATTGCTCACAGAAACAACTTTAGTTCAAGGACAAAGTAGAACCCAGAGCAAAATCTACTGAGCAGGCAAACATTTACCTTCACCGTGCTTATCATATCCGTTTCTAAAACTTCTGTAGTCCTGAAACACATCACCGCTGTGCCATTTCCCCCTTCTCACAGACTCATCAGACTCTTTAAGTTGTTTCCTTTGCAAAAAGAAGAGTCCGTTTTCTCTTGCACGAAACTCACAAGGGGGCTGATCACAAGACGGGGCAGCCTGTGTCTCGCTCTCTCGTCTTCCTCTCCTTGCCTTCTTCTGTGTGTGTGTGTGTGTGTGGGTGTGTGTGTGTGTGTGTGTGTGTGTGTGTGTGTGTGTGTGTGTGTGTCTGCTGACAGTACATTGACGGACGCCCCTCTTGCCCTGTGCTGGATGCCTTAGTTAGGGGCCTCTGAGCCTCCTGCATTTAAAAACAAATAAGCTGCCACATAAAGATCATCCCTCATTTCTTCTCTAGTCACTCAGAACCTCGCCCCCTACTGCAGCACACACACACACACACACACACACACACACACACACACACACACACACAGAAAGATGCACCATCACTTAACATACAGTGACCTCCATACCTCACCAATCACTAACGTACCAACGTTCTTTTACTAGTAAAGTATTACTACAATATGCACCATGCACATACCACACAACAAACAACACACACATACACACACACACACACACGCACAGGCACGCACCAGAGGCTAACATCTGTAAGGGATTTGTACAGTGAGATGATACCCAATAATAAATAATGTGAACATTTGAAACTCATTTCAGTCCCCCTCTGTGTGACCCCAAACAAGGTCAGATGGATGTGTGTGTGTCTGTGCTTCAAGTATGTGTGTGTGGGTGTGTTTGTAGGAAAAAAGGAAGAGAGAGACCCTGCGTGCACGTTTACACTGCATCAGTGTATTATTCATGCATGTCTATGATATGACGAATCCCAGAATCCCACAGGTGTTCCCAATTCCCAGTTACCGCGGCGACCTCGCCTCAGTGTCCCCTCACTCACCCTTCACCATTTCCCCCCTTAAAGAATAAAAAAAAAGAAAAAACACTCTCAATCAAATCTCACCTCCTCTGCTGACTTTTAATCAAATGGATCCTTTAATTGGTTGAGTTAATCAGACTCAGATGATTCTGGATCAGACCTCAGTCCCCCCGTTTTTTCGGAGCAGAGTGTGGTTTGGTATGTGGCCAGTAGGGGAGGCTGTGGCTCATCCTTTGAGACTCTCCCTGTCGCTTCCCATAACACACAACCAGCTGATCCTGCTGGTCAGAGGTCAGCAGATGAGACCTCGGAGAAAAGCACCAGGCGTTCCAGTTGAGCTGATTCTGAATTTAACAGATAAAAAAAATCCGGAAAGGAGGTGTGAACTCACTACAGTGGTTGAAGTTTACCCTGATGGAGGATGTGACTCCTCATCTGTCCTCCTCCTCCTCCAGCCTTTGACCTCCACCTCCTCCTCCTCTTCTCTTTCGCAGGACGGCCTGTTGCATATTTTGTTGTTGTCATGGCAGCAGCTGTTTGTTTGAGACCATGACGGGATCATCTGTTATGTCACCTGACCTCACTCTGAACCCACACACACACACACACACACAATTGTGGTGTGATGTCATCTCAAACAAGACACCTTTAACTTAACTCCATCTTCTGCTGTGATGTGATGTGATGTGATTTCTCTTTCTCGTGTGTGTGTGTGTGTGTGTGTGTGTGTGTGTTTTGAGCATATACGTGTGAATTTATGCGCTATAGAGGAATGTAAAGAGGTGGAAGCTCGGCTGTGTGTGTATATTGGTCCGATTTTATGTTGGTGAGGACGGAGGGAGAAAAGGAGGGAGGGAGAGGTGGCATTGACATGTATGTCAGCTACGAGGGAGGAAGGCGGGGAGTAAATCTGACCCTGTGACACACCCCGCCACATAAACACAGAGACACACACACACACACACACACACACACACACACACATACACCTTCACATCTGGTTTGGCCATCGGTCCCATTCTCAAATTGACGTGCCCCTCCTCCAACAACACACACACACACACACACACACACACACACACACACACATTAATTCTCCCTGCAGTGCTGCTCCTCACCCCTTTCTCTATCACTGGCAAAGTAAACCCACCATGTGAGAATGATGAATGGGCTATCCTGCACCGGAAGCGCACGTTAGAAACCCCCTGCCACCACGGGCCTGCTTCACACACACACACACACACACACACACACACACACACACACACACACACACACACACACACTCTCTCTCTCTCTCTCTCTCTCTCTCTCTCTCTCTCTTCCACTATCCTCTCTCCTCCTCTGTCTCTCCTGGTGACCTCACAAGCCTCCTTCCTTCCTGGTCGACACATCTACCCTCCCTTCACACACAAGATCCTGATGCAGTGTGTGTGTGTGTGTGTTTGTGTGTTTGTGTGAGTGTGAGACTAATACAGAGAGTGTAGTGTCTTGTCGATGGTGTCCATTGTTGTACACACACCTGCAGGTCAGTTGCTTGTGTTTATTGTGTGCTTTGTGTGAGTAGATGCCTTTAAGTACCCCACACTCACAGGTATGTGTTTGTGTGTTGAGGAAGAGGCTAAAGGATTATGTGTTCCACAAATAAAAGCCAAAAATACAAAGATTTCCCTTTTTAATTCTTTATTTTATTTTATTTTATATATTTTTTTTTTTACAGCTTTTTGATAAAACACACCAAAAAACAGAATTTAAAACATAATCCATGCAACATTATCCCAGTTTAGCATTGCAAATGACATATTTCATCCATCTCCTCTTCAGCTATAGACATCACATTGACCTTAGGGAGTCTGAAATCATCCAGGGGAAATGTTGAAACTCCAGGTGGTCCACAACCAATTAAATAAAGCATCACTGTGCTTCTTTTTGAAACACACACACACACACACACACACACACACGCACACACGAGAAAGTGAAAGAGAGAGAGACAGAGAGAGAGAGAGAGAGAGAGAAACCCTCTACATGCAAAGAGAGAGAAGGTAAAAAAAAAAAAGAACAGTTTTTTCCACAATGTTGGGGAAAAAAAGGAGAAAGAAACGAGTTTCATTTGCTGTCAAAACATTTGTAGTGGAATTAAACATATGGATGCCACAGGCAAAGTGAGGGCTGGAATATATTAGAGCTGCACGATGTTACACTAACCCTCCAGTATCTTACACTGCTCCGAGAGATTAATGGAATAAAGAGGAGAGGAAGGGGGGAGGAGGTGGGGTGAGTGTGTGTCTGTCTTTCTCAGACCACTGCAAAATCAATATTTTTCCATGATACACGGCTCTCGCTGTTGGCCCGTATACATACACATATTCCCATCAAAACCTAAATATTAGCTGTCCCGAACTGCAATCTGATGTCTGAGTTAATTAGACACGTCTGTTTGGAATTGTAGTATTTGATTTATTTCTGAATCTTTCACTGAAGTTTTACATTTTTATTATAAAAAATAAAAAAAACTATCTGACTAAGTGCAAGTGGCTCATCATCCTTCACTTTAAAGATAATATTTTGCAGCCAGTCCCAACATGTTTGGTCTCATCATGTCAACATGCTGGTGTTAAAAAATAAATAAATTTTAAAAAAGAAGCCCACGGAGCATAATACTGCATTGATTTCTCTGTTCTATTAAATTAGTGTGTTTCAGCACGGTGGGGTAATTGTAGAGAGAAAGAGAGAGAGAAAAAAAAAAAAGGAATGTGCAGATACGTTCACAAATGAATAGTGGGCTTGTTGTTTTATGCCCTCAGTATAGAGAGAATTGAACTATGCGTTGAATGTCTCAAAGGGAATAGAGCCTGATGGGAGGGGTAACTCACCAGTCTTTCAAACCTACAAGTTTGCAAAGAATGGATTGACTCCAAAGCTGCAAGATCACTCTCAGAAAAAAAAATGCTGTTAATATAACCAAAAATAACCCGTATTTTCACAATTCAGCATGGTTTTCACTTCTCCTTCAGGGGCCTTACGAGCTCATATAACTGGCATCAGTGTGATACCACTTACTGTGATATTTGCTATGAATGTGAGTCATAAAAAGACTTTCAGTGGTTTGGCCCTCAATGTATTTGCACACTCACCAGGTGACTCTGGTTGAAAATCTATAATTTTAAATGAATGTAGATAGTTTATAAGCAGCAGTGTCATATATATAACCTATAATTATTTATATTTTTACATGAAATTATAAAAGGAGTTATTGTTTCTTTTTCTTTTTCATATGAGACACTTTGTTCTGTGTGAGGTGTGAGTGACATTCAGGCTGTAAATGTGTGCTGAAATTTTAATTTGAGCTTTTACTCTACAAAACAGTACATAGAGAAAGATCCACTGATTACCTGGCACCATGGGCAATGACTGTGTATTAGATTTACACAGAAAATAGTACTTTGATCAGATCTCTGTTAAAGTATAAACATCTTCTCCAACATGTTTAAAAGAGATATGAATAAAATTACTATATTCTACACCCAGTATGGGTCACACAATACTGTACCCTGTAGCAATGGACTGTTTTGACCTCATGTTATATTATTTCTTATATAACTTGATCAAAACAACCCCTTGTCTTGGGTGCTATATTGACTCACAATGGGTTACATTTTTACATAGTTATATTGAATGGTTTTGTTTATTTAAAATGGTATTTGAAAATTTTACTTTAACATTACAAAAAAAATCCATTCATGCCCTTGTCTTATATTTGTCCATAAAAATGAGTTCAGCCTTACCCTGAACCCTGCTAAGCTTGAATTATTTGAACATAAACAGGCTCATAAAACAGTTAAAACAAGAAATTGTAATTATTTTCTTTAACTTTAATTTAATCTTTATATCCTCATGCAATCCTGTGATATTTGAATCAAAGTGTAATAAAAAAAAAAGGTTTCACTGACTTATCTCTCATCACACAGCTATCTGCTTTACAGCAAATACATGTGAATGATTGTGAATCTGTTTAGGAAAATGTTTGAAATGAGTTTGTGTGGTTATGTTCCCCTCCCTGCTCCAGAGGCTGCAGGTAAAGGCCCTCCCTCTCTCCCTTCTCTTTGTAATTATTGTTTACACTGTTTACTGCTAAACCATCTTTTGCCATGTACTAATTTCACGCTAGACAGCCACAAAATTATTCAGCATTCTCCCAATATGTGAAAGTCGTAGATTCAGTTGTATTTTACAGCGGCCGTCCTCTCTCACGGGGTAACAATGTGGCAATTTAAGCCCGTGTAGCATTTGACCTTAAACACACGCTTTTAGAGACAAACCTGGTTATTTAAGCAGGAATTTCCTTACAAAAGATGCGGACAGACAGTTGCCCCTCCTGGACTAAATTTGGTAAATGTGGAAGCCTATGCATATTTTACATAACGATTCTGCCTATTATTGCAATTTCAGAGACCCTACAGTGTGAGAACGACGACCAATTTATCATTCATTGCGGTAAATCGCAGCGGAGACTGCATTTAATTGAGTTTGTATTGTATTTCGTAGCTGGGTGCCTTCTCGCTATAGGGTGGGGGATTCTCTCTCAGGCCATCCCAGTGCAACGGGGGCTGAGAAGGGGGAGGCGGAGGGAGGGAGGGGAGGGGGGCTGAGGAGAGGGGGAGGTGGTGGAGGAGGGCCCCCCACCCCCACCCCTCCTAGTCCTTTCCGCCTCTGTCTTACCAAACAATCAACTGGTAGCGAAAATGGGCATCTTCCATGTAAAGCAGGCTGCGCATTCACATATTGTATTCAAAAAGTGGATTTGTATGTGAAAGCCTGGTGGTTCAGGGATGGTGATGGGTATATAAATAAAAAAAAGAAGAAGGTAAACAATTGTAACCTCCACTCTTCATGTAAACAAACACGAGTGGCTGTTAAAAGTTAATTATATCTTCAGAAAAGGCATCAGTGTCCACAACGCCATTGGATCTGCATTATTTTATGAGGTCAAATGAATTAAATAACACGGTTTTACCTGGTTTAAATATATAAGCACAACTTTGAGTCACTGCAGCCTGTAGATGCTGAATGGCTGATCGCTGGTTGAGTTATCGCGGACTCATTGCACGGCCCGCACTCTGTTATATTCCACTTCATAGGCCCACCACTTTGTTAATTTGCGTCTTAATTGTGTGCGACGCAATTATGGAGATATGGATGGTCTGCATGACGCCCATCAGTGCAGCAGGAGGACCGCGCAGGCCAGTAAATCACCTCTCTGACACCCCGAGTCCCCGGTTTGAGGCGACTAAACTTGACTTTTTGTGGCCTCGACTGGCTGTTAGAATCGCCTCCGAGCGCCACGCAGCTCAACACATCCCAGCATGCTCCGCTTCTGTGGCCCTTCCCAAACCCCTCTCTACTCTACTGACAGTGAGGTGAAAAAAATAAAAAATTAAATCTATTTGCACTTTAGGCTATATTCAGTAGAAGTTATCAGCAGAAGCCTTCTTTAAGGTTTGCATAGATGACATAGTGAACACGCAAAGCACGCACACACACGCACGCACACGCACACACACAAACAAAGCTTGTTTGTCTTGCAAATTTTTAAATAATTCAGGTGGACCCTATAACAATTACACATGCACAACAGACACGTGCACGCGGAGAATCGTTTTATAACTGAATAGGCTACAACTGAAAAAAATTAAAGCTCCAGTTGCTTTAATTATTTAATGAACAATTATTAAGACACAAAGACACGAGCAAGATGTCAAAAATGTCCCAACACTTAAATCTTTATCTTTCTAACACTTTCATACTGTCAGCAAAGGGCTAAAGATACAGAATGCCGAAAACTTTCATAAGCATTTTATTTTAAACGTTAAATAAACATGTAATAAGGACAAGAATACAGCACGCAACCTATACAGCATGTTACATTTCCATTTTTATGATAAAGTGAATGTTTCGGTCGAAAAATATATATTCGTTGATTGTGTATTTACTTGTTTAACATCTCTGCAGCTGTTTTAATTTTCTAAAAGCAAAATGATTAGTTATTTTTATTATTTTATTGTATTTATGTTTTATGTGTTATTTAATTGTTTTTATTTACAGTAGGCTATTTTATTTCATTACCTTTTCTTATCAACACGTTTTCAATTCATATGTATGAATGACACTTTTTATTTTAATAACTGAAGCACTGACAATAAAGCATGATAAATTAAAATAAATGATTAATTTTATTTATAAATATATTATTATTATTATTATTATTATTGTGTAGCCTACTCCTACTTGTTAAACTCTTTCAGTGTAGCTTTGAGCATCACACACACATACACACACACACACAAATAATACACTAGAAGTCACGTTTGAGGCTGGTTGCTGTAACGTTAATATTCCGGTGAGTCTGTGTCTTGTTATTGTTATTATTGCTATTATCGCCTCATCGTGCTGCCACAGAGAAACCGGCCGTCCTGCTGCAGTCACTTTGAATTAACTTCACCAACACGGAAACTCCTCACTGACTCCAGCAGCCCAAAACACACACAAACACAAACACACACACAGATATGCAAACACACACACACGGTACAGTATGTTTTGAATTTTAGCCAAACACACCTAAACACGAACACGTGTTTATAGTTGTTTTTAATTATGACAGATTATTCAATAAAACTCCGAGTAATCGACTGTGTTGACGGTGGAACAAATGAGCGCACAGGAGTAAAACAGAATGCTGCCTTTTGTGAAAAATGTTCAAACCGAATAACCAAAACTGCGAATAAGATAATAAGGATAATATGTTTGCATTTTAATGAGCCGCTGTTGTACATGCTGTGATGATTAGTAGAACTAAAAGCGTGTTCTTCAAAGTGAGCAGACTAGTCCACCGTGTGTAATTATGTAAAGTGGGCCTGCTCCTGCAGCCAGCCTGTAATTTTACACTTTTCTCAAGCTTGTCGACTTTAAAGAAAGCTACAACATCAAATCAGACTACAAGAAACAATAGGAGTATTCCCTAAAATTAAATCTTCCAGCGTTGAAAAATACGATGAAATCACTCTAAATGTAAAAAATAAAAATAACACGCTACAAGAAAATCCCCACTGTTCTCACACTGGTGTCAGATTCACTGAGGCTGAATCTCTGAATCTCTTCTTGCAACTAAAATCAGGATGATTTAGATTAATTGTTTATATTTAAAGACACTAGATTTGGTTGGATTTTATATTTTGCGTAAATAGAAAAAGAAAAGAAACAAAGGCCAGGGTAATAGGATCTCTGGACATACACACACACACACACAAAGGATCTCAACATGGCGAATGTGGCTCGCCCACCCAGCCAATGATCGATTTTTAGGTTTTATTGGTTTGGGTTTATACGCCTTGAACGCAGCACTAACCGTTTCTAACGTATTTCTGATAATAGGAGAATATGTAGAAAAATTCTACTATTTTAAATAAATTAGTCCGAAATTACATTTAAATTCAATTATATTTTGAAATAAAATAAAATGACCTTTCATGCAACCTACAATGCGTTATAGATGTAGGTTACATTGATCTATATTGGTTCAAACATATTAGATTTGACTGTATTTGTAGGTTGTCCGTATTTTATAACTGCATAACTTTGCATAATTACAGACTTATTCATAATTGTAACAAGTTACTGATTTTCTATTGTTGAAACAATTCATGCGATTTTTGGGGGGGTTTAGATTTTCTACCCTAACAAAATTGAACTGCTATGGAAATCATTAAAGAACAAACAAAAACAAACAACATAATAGCAACAGTGCTTGTTGTTAATAAATCACAAATAAATAATCATGAAATGTCTCACCTTTGCAACAAAAAAATTATCTTAAAGGAAGAATAGATGACACGTTGAAGTTTGGTCCAGTTTGACTGTTTTCTTCCTCTTCGGTCCATATTCTTCTTGTGCAGATAAATGTGTAACATGAGACGGCAGGACGGCTGCAACCCTCCTGCAGCAAAATAAATCTCATATGCAAAGAAGGCTTTTGAAAATGGCGCCCTGCAGCAAACGCCTCCCTGTCAGTGTAGAAGAGGAGGAGGAGGAGGAGAAGGAGGAGGAGGAGGAGGAGGGAGCGAGGGAGCGAGGGGCAGAGGGGGGCGTGCCATGTGCGTCGTGTTACGCGCAATGGGGCTGTAGCCTCTGCTCCCGTGTCGGTTGTAGTATCTGGATATAAAACCGTCCCCGGTATTCGCCGGTATAGCCTCACACGTTGAACACCCCCCTACCTCCCTCCACCCTCCCTCCCCTTCTAGTCAACAGCACGTCGGTACAGCCATCGGAGAGACGCGTCGTGTCATTACGCACCGAATAAAAGCGCACTTCTCGGGCTTCCGTGGCTCTCCAAGCTTTCCCATCCCCCTTCCCCTTTGGCTGCCTCTCTCCTCGAAAACACGGAGCTGTTTACCGTTTCTTACGCGACTTTCGTGTGAAAACGAGCCGAGCCGTGCGCGCACACATTCTCTCTTTCCGTCCTCCATCCAGTCCTTTCGTTCCGGTGGCCGCTTTGGCGCAGAATGGACCATCTCCACATCCACACGCCGCCATTCCGGTGCGCAGGCAGGCAGCCCGTGTAACCGCGCAGACTAGCCAGCAGCTGGGGCTTCCAGGGGAGAGTTGTGAAGAGGGGATCTCTCTCTCTCTCTCTCTCTCTCTCTCTCTCTCTCTCTCTCTCTCTCTCTTCCCTCCACGGCGGAGCTGCAGCGAGGGAGAAGAAGAGAAGGAGGAGGAGGAGGGAGAAGGAGGGGGAAGCCCACGCTGATAGCTGGAGGGAGCCCCAGCGCGTTGAGCTTGTGTATGTGTGTGTGTGTGTGTGTGTGTGTGTGTGTGTGTGTGTGTGTGTGTGTATCCGTGTGTGCGCGCGCGCATTATAATCGTTGCTAGGAAATCCTTTCTGTGGCTGTGTGAGGGAGGATCTACAAGCTGGATGAAATCGCAGCTGCAGTTAAAAAAATCCTCTGCAAAACGAAATCAACTTTTATCCTCTTGCAAATATGGATCTTGGTCCTTTGTTCCTCTTCTTTTCTTAATGTATAAAATATGGATTGTTGAGCAGTGTGTAGGTGTATGTGTGTGTGTGTGTGTGTGTGTGTGTGTGTGTGTGTGTGTGTGTGTGTGTGTGTGTGTGTGTGTGTGTGTGAGTGTGTGTGTGCGTGTGTGTTATGCCTCGGTTTTTGTGCACAGTAGTGTTTGCATGCATATGTGCAAGCGTGCAGCTGTGAGTTAATCTACACACACAGTGAAATAGGCTGCTTCATACATAGTGAAGGAATTGATTCTGTGTGTGTGTGTGTGTGTGTGTGTGTGTGGTTAGTGGTGGTATTTTCAGATAAATCACTCTCGGCTTGCAGAACAGTCAGTCCTCACCTATGTAAACGCACCCCTGAGGGCAACAGATTTATCTGCATGAGGACGGTTCACCTCCCTCACACACATACACGCACACAAACACACGTGCACACACTCACGCACACATAAGTCCCCCTCCCCCCTTCCCTCCCTCTGTTACCCCCTTCCCCTCAGTGTGGAGATGGATGGCCCATGTCCCTTTTGTCTAGATGCAAATGGACTTTAACCCCGAATTAATGGATAACTCCCCAGAAAGGCCTAATAATGCTCTGCTCACATGATGTACACACACATGCACACACACACACACACACACTTTCACCGACAGGCCTCTGACTTGATAAAACATTTAGACACATTGCGTTTGTCTGCAGTACAGTTACGCTATAAATGTATTATGTTTACATGAACAGGAACACAGCACAGAAAATATAACTTGCTGCAGTCGTACATTAAGTGTTTTTATTTGTTTTTAATTCTCCTCCTGATGGAGTGCTTCCTAAATTAAATCAAGCTCAGCTTTGAGACTTCACAAACCACACAACCACTGCGACCAGCCTCTCCTCCACAACAGTAGAAGAAACCTCCACCGGCTGTTTTCCCACCTTCCTTTATAACCTCTATAACACAGAAATATCACATTGTTGTAATTCTATTTTCATTTTATGTGTGGACATTTGAACTTTCAGGGCCCGTTGTATTCCTCACAGAGCGTACAAGATGATGACAGACGCTGGGGTTTAACATGGTGCTGGGTGCAGAAATGGGGATGTAGATACGATCCCCCATTAGCTGTGGCGCCATGCTGCTCCGCAACATTACCACGGCACTAAAATTTTATTTGAGCAGCCCCGCTCACTCAGGTTGATCAAGAGGAGAAGGCGGGGGGGAAGAGAAAAGCAGGATGGAAAGCCTCAAAGTGAGCGTGCTGTGTACCTAGGCGCAAGTGTGTGTGTGTGTGTATGCACTTGTTATATTTTTCTGAACAATAAACCCACTTCCTCCATGTATACCTGTCACCCCTGAGCACTATCAATGAAACACCCCCATTTGCTGTGTGTCAGGAGCAGACTGCATTACCACGGATGTAAAAATTCATCTAGGGAAGAGGCCACTTGTTGCTGGAGATGACGATAGCTGGCTGGGGAAGAGGAGAGAGGGGAGAGAGAGAGGAGAGGGAGAGGAGAGAGAGAGAGAGAGAGAGAGAGAGAGAGAGAGGAGGGGGTAGGAGAGGTGGAATAATTTCACCCAAGTAAGATGGATGTTTTAATGCATCTGCTTCGTGTAAAGTCCTCCACAACATGCCACATAAACATATCTGTCTTTATGGACGCAGCTGCTGGGATGATATTGGAGGAGAGAGGTAGTGAAGAGTTGTCAGTTGTGCAGGGAAAGCTGTGTGTGTGTGTGTGTGTGTGTGTGTGTGTGTGTGTGTGTGTGTGTGTGTGTGCAGGTAGTCAGTGTAAGCAGCACATATATATTGGGGATAGCCTCTCGACATATGTTTCTATTGCATAAGTCAAAGTTTTCTACCTTTTTTTAAATTTCTTTTCAAAAACAACCAAATGTATTTTAATATTATCTGGTAGATGGATTTGCTCTGGGCTGATGAAACCAAACAGCAATTAAGGGTTTTCTTGGAACCACAATTTGATTAAAATAAAACCAAACACAGAGCAATGATAATTATAGTAAGTAAATTATAAACTATCCAATTTTCCCCCAAATGTTACCCTTTTATCAGCTCAGTAAGTTTCCCACTCATGCCTCAGCCGCTGGTATCGCCACATCCACTCAGTCCCATGATCAACAGAGGGTGTATACACAAACTATTGTTGTTGTTGGGGAAGATGGCAGTAGTCGTTTCACCACTTCGTCAGTGGACTACAATGCACCCATACATCCTGATACTACACCTGCAGCAGCATCGGTTTACAGTTGCATTACAGCACCTGTACGGACCTTGATGGTACTGATAGTGAGTTAAATGTCTAAGGGTTCCTCCTTGCATAAAGCCTGCATTGAAAGTTCACACAAATCCTTAGATCTTCCTTAACTGATTTGGTTTTAATGGTGGTCTGGATCTGGAAATTCCACTGTTAGGCTCTGTGTATTTTTTAACTGTAACCATGAGAGCAAGCAAGTTGATTCCAAGGTCCTGTGGATCTTTTTGCAGGTTGAATCTGTTCAACTGTTCAAAATAATAGAGATAGTGAACAAAATCCTGCGTGTCTGCCAAAAAGCTCGGCAGTTTCATCCCTTGCAAATTTTGCGCTTATTAGGCATGGCACTCTTTTTCACATTTTAAGAGTGAATGGACAGTAAGTGTCCAGCTCTGGACTGTGTTGTGGTGAAACGCCTGATATTCTGGTGATGTTTAGATTTACTAACCACATCTGCGCATATTTAATCGTAGTCATCCTCAGGCTTTGAAGAGAGACATTTGGGTCAGACCAGAGGCCAAGAAACAGAAGAAGAAAGGAAAGACAGTGTTAGAAACGGCAAAACGAGGGGATGGACCGAGTTAAAGTGAGCCATCCCTTTTTGTGGCTTGAATGATTGGATCAGAGTTGAGTTGACCTCTGACCTCCCAGCTAGGCCAAAAAAAATGGGTTCTGACACACACACTTCCCTTTTCTTCTCCCAGGATACAGCGATCACATGACTCTCCGGGCCGGCCATTGCCAGGCCGCGTGATGCTGCTGCAGATGTGGGGAGGAAAAAAAATATATAAAAGGAAGAAAAGAAGTTTTTAGTGAAAGATTGGAAGGGGAACAAGGGCTAGGGGGGTGACATGGAGAACAAGCAAACGCGTCAGCAGACAGCGAGGGGGGGAGGAGGTTGGGGGGGGGTCACAAAGCTAGCTTTGTTTCTGTTCTGGCTGCTGCATTAGCAGCTGCAATAAAAAAAGCTTAGAGAGAAGAGGATGGATGGACGATGGCATGGAGGGGTGAATGGCCTAGCATGACGTTTAAGAGATGTCTCTGTTTGTCACTTCAGTAACTGTGGTTTAATGCTGCTTCAGAGAATATGCATACACGCCATAACTCATAGAGAGAGATGAAGACCTACATGGCTCATTCAAGATAAAGGCACCACTGTGTGTCCAGTGATGTAACACTCTTTTATGACTGATATGCATTACAATATGAGAGCAAAGATGAAAGAATTAAGTGCTTGGGCAAGAAGTCATATCCCAGGATGCTTTGCTCTCTTAGCTCACCCTTTTGTGGCTGTTTCAGTTATGCAGCTATGCTCACCTATGGGGCCACTGGGCCTCTATAAACTTGAAGCAGTACATTGGTGTGTGTGTTTCTGTTCTGGCTTATGTGTGTGTGTGTGTGTGTGTGTGTGTGTGCGCGTGTGTGTGCGCGTGTGTGCACTTGCCTCTGGGGCAAACAACGTCCGTTCTCCAAAAAATCACATCACATGACCATGTAAACGGCAGAAACCGGCACCATCTTTAGGTGTGGTGGCACCTTGAAGTGTTTTCCATTTGCCAAAGAGGAGCTGGCCTCAAATTGGAACCAGAAACGGGTTTAGCGTCTGATTCTTAACCTATCGCAGCTGTGTCACACACACACACACACACACACACACACACACACACACACACACACACACACACACACACACACACACACACACACACACACACACCAATATCAGGGGTCCACATACACACACACACACACACACACGCAGCAGGCGAGCAGTCTCTGAACAGGGTTAAGAGTGAGCAACTGTATTACACCACAGCAAATGAGAAGCATCACATCTAGAGAGCAAATCTCAAACATTTGTCCACTTTTATCAATACTGCCATATGTGTACGACATCATGATGGGCTTAAAAGCTTGTCGGAAACACACACACACACACACACCAATCGCTCTAAAGGACGAGTATTGTCTTTTCTGCAGCTGCTCTGTTTTGTAATGAATATTGCAGATGTTTCCAGCATAAATGTGTTTACTCTATAATGACATTTTGGTAAACAATTTAAAAGATATTATTTAAAGACTTTCTCGCTCTTAAAGCAAAGAATGTGTTCCGCTCAAGAAACAAGGATGTTTTAATCCCATGAGACATAACTTTGTTTCAACAGGTGCTACATATATACGATCCGTACTATGTGAAGGAATCCAGGAGTGAACACCTCACCTGACACCTCTGATAGTATCTCACTGAGGTGTGTTTACCCAACACGAGCAGAGGGCCCAGGCTAGCCAGGGGTTTTAGCTGTGAACTGGCCTCGTTTGGGGTCGTTCTAGAAGAGAAGGGTCGCATTTCAAGCTGCCTGCGATGATTTGAATTGTCCTTCATCAGAGCTGAAGCAGATGGATGAGTGAGTGGACGGCATCTATTTGACTGTTGGGTCTAAGACCGGTTTGTATGTGCAGCTGGGGCTCTGGTTGAAAGACAAGGACCAGGGGCATTA